ACTAATTCTATCACGAATTACATTTTATGTAATATATGAAATTATAATTTAAATAAGTTTTATTAATGTTGACCAATTTATCATTTAGGTACTGCCGCCTGCGGCTGTTTGGTCCGTTATTACTTTACGTGGCACCCATTTTTGTCTGAAATGGAAGCATATACTATATAATCAACCGACTTCAAAAAGGAGGAGGTTCTCAATTCGACTGTATGTTTTTTTTTTTTTTTTTTTATGTTTGTTACCTCAGAACTCCGTCATTTATTAACCGATTTGGACAATTTTTGTTTTGTTTGAAAGGGTATACTTCCAGATTGGTCCCATTTAAATTTCAAAAAAAATACCACCCCTAAGGGTGGAAAAACAACTAATGATGAATTTAACCTACTTCTAATTGTCGTATTGACTTGAAATTTTGCAACTATTTCTATTTCCGTTGATAGTACAGTGGTTCGGTGTTGTTGACCTGATCTGATGGCAAGGCCAGAAGGTGGATAGGTGGAACTCTTCAACGGCTAATAGTAGATACTTTGAGTTTGGGCTTATTTTGTTTGATTTGACAAGCCTAACACGTTAGAATTCTTACTTTGCTACTACTGTTTACACTAAAAAGGGAAAAATAAAAACTTTTTAACAAAAAAATAAAAACCGACTTCAAACAAAAGCACTAAAAAGTAAAAAATAACTGATTGGTAGTTTTCATTTACTATACATACCTAATCAAATATTTTCGAAGTCGGTGTGCTTTGGCTAAGTAATTAAAGCCTACCTATTAAATACATACCTAGTCAAATATTTTCGAAATCGGTGCCAGCCCATACAAAGCAAAGCACACCGACTTCGAAAATATTTGATTAGGTATGTATAGTAAATGAAAACTACCAATCAGTTATTTTTTACTTTTTAGTGCTTTTGTTTGAAGTCGGTTTTTATTTTTTTGTTAAAAAGTTTTTATATTTACATCAACATAACAGATTAAAAGATAAAAAATTAGTAATTCTGCCTTTTTAATATCCCCCTGCTGGACACATTTCCTAAAAGCAAAGCAAGAGGCATCAGACCACCTCTCTGGCCAATTGCAGATTGGCAAATAAAACTATGCGTTGCTCTATATCATCTATGTGCTATTATAATAAACATTTCTATTCAAAGTCCAGATGTTCTTAATTGATACTCAATTAAATAGAAGCTTCGAAACTTAGTTATTACGATTCTGTTACATGATACATCGCTAAACAGAAAATTATTTAATTATTATTAAATTAAAGCGTTGATTTTGTAACTCGTTATAATTTTACTACATGATGCATTTCCTTTAATTTGTTTATTTCACCTAAAATTTATTCATGAATATTCTGATATTGTACCAAATAAATATACCTACACATATTTATTCGGAAACACTGCTAGTTCTCTTTATGGACATCCACATTAGATGTTATAATATCGATATTCTTCGTATATAAATTGCTTTTTCTTGCCCTTGGCCTTGTTTATTTACAGATATTGAGACGCTACGTAGACTTACAGTCTAGGTACTATTTAGATTCTATAATATATGATCTTAAAGTTAGGGCATAGACAAACTAACATATTCTATGCTATATTGAAAACTTTGAATAGGTCACGTTGAATTCATCCACGAAAATACAGGAAATTATCAGAATGTGTAAAGTTTAAACTTCAATCCAAAGCATTTATAAGATGGACCTATTAGAAAGACAAAGTAAAATTAAATCAGTCCAGTTTAAACATCAAAATCAATACACACGAGTATGTAAATAATTATGGCGGATAGTTTTTAAATACAAAATAATTGACATTTTTCTAAAAGAAAAAAAATGTTTTACTAGCATAACATCATCTATGAAGTTAATTTTATTTACAAAAATACATAATAATAAAACTATTTATTCAGATATTAAACTCAAATTAAGTTCACGTGTAATAGTAGCGAAATAAATGAATTTTAATTGTGACTCCATGTTACAAACATATATTTTTCTCCCAAGTTTAAAACAATGTTTAAGAAAAAATATAGAACGCGGATAATTGAGAAACATTATAATATTATTTTTACAGGTTTTTATTAAGATTTACCTACAAATTAAAACATAATAAAGACGGAAAGGTCATTATGTGCAGTATTTTATCATAATATCGAAAATTATTTTTTTAGTTTAGTAGCTATTGACGAGAGAATAGTGCATCAATACAAAAAGAAATATCATAGATGTTACACATCAAAAAAATGTTTATGGAATTTCGACCACTGGGCTAATACTAGTTAAAAGATCATGCTATTCTTTATAGAATTCTGATGAGTTTTCAATTACCTTTAAATTTTGTAGATTCTGAACGGAAATACTATCAGTGTCTTGACATAATCACGATCACGATTAATTCGAATTTTTTTTATGTTTACACTTCACTTACATTATCAAAAAATGAAAAATTTCAATTGTCCTCAAATTGCTCAAAAGATAATTCAGGCATCAAAACAGTCGACTCATCTTAGTATGTATTTTCAGATGGACTTGACCGTTCAGACGTTCATTCAAGGTTTACAAACCGTTATTATAATCTTGCTCATTATACAATATAAAATTCGTTTTTTTACAATAATAATATTTTTCCTTGAAGCACTTATGTAGAGACACTTTATATATTGTAGAGTTAGAACACTGTTTTGAAAAGAAAATATTTGAAGATCCTCAATTCTGTTCCGATCCCGCACTATAAATACTCAGCTCAGTAGCACTATATACTTATCACATTATCATCAACTGTATTTTTTTTACATAACAAAATCCAATGGAAAAACTTGTTTTATTCAACGAAGTAAGATTTTTCACAATTTTCAAATTTAGACACTTTTTAATTAATAGACATTTAAATATAAGGTTATTTTTTTTATAATATATACTCTGTAAATGTACAAAATTGTGTTTTTTTTTATTTAATACGAAGGCACTATTTATATAATTCCGTATTGCAGTAATTCAGAGATAGAGTCGCTGTCTCGGGACGACGCTCGACGGCGCACTAGCGTTTCCTACTCGTCTGTCCTTGCTTACTGCGTCATTATTAAATTAACTTTTTGATTACTTCCGAATAACATGCTTTGGTTTTGTTAATAACTAACTCTCAATACTACACTATTGTTGTAGATTGAGTGTAATTTGTAGGATGAGCAAAAGAATTGTTTTGAACTAGAACTTAACGACTGATACATAATATGAAAATGGTAATATAGTGTTCTATGATACACTAGCGTTTTCCTGCGGCTCCGCCCGCATAGTACATTATTCACCAACATATCATATACTAAAACCTTCTCCGAAACACGCTGCATCTTATGGTATGAATATTATTCCGATCGGTTCAGTAGTTATCGCAGTATAACCGAACAAAAAAATCGGCTTTTTATTAATATAGATACTTTAAATCTTGGTTTGACTCCTTGATGGATAAAAAAAAATCTGTATTTTTATATTTAAATTTCAGTTTTAATCAACAAAGATATAATAATTAGTATATTAGTCACTCTCTGGGAACAAAACTTCTATATGCGATATCGATAAACGAGTATTAAGGCTGCTTAAATATATTAAATTAAAGCTTAATATATAAACCAGAAAATTAAAAAGTTTTCATCTAACGATAAAAAACTATATCAAAGTTTTTACGTGTAATGTACCAATAAAAACAACTCAAACCTACCGGGATATAATGAATTTTAGGATTAGAATCGCCTATAGAGCTGTTCTGTATGTTTATTTGTGCAGTGTACTATTAACAAAATTTTAGTTCGGTGTTACTCTTGGTTCCCCAAAAGCACGAGGTAATCCTGATGCACCAGAACCATCAGAAGAAGTGTTCGTCCAGTGATCGAAATTCCATTTCCAATTTTAATAATTATCTTAATTTATAGATTATTTTTATTGATAACACTTAAGCTCATAGATAGCTAAACACAAAAAAAAAAACAAAATTGGTTGACAAAGAAAAGAGGAAAAAAATAATATGAAAATGCTTTACTATAAAACATTATTATGTAACTTATATGATATGTACAGAAGAATACTACATATATTGAGAAATTGATAAGACTAAATATTTAATTAATTATTATTGTTACAAAAACCAATATATTTTATTGACTTTACTTAAAAAAGGCCAATAGAATAGACAAAATGATAAATAAGAGTGTCTTTTCGTCCTTTAGGACGAATAAAAGTTTTAATTAATTAAATTTAATTGTAATTAATTAATAATAAATAATTATTCGTCCTTTATAAAATATTAATGAGATATAAATAATAATTATAAGGAAGGGAGATAGACTAATAAATAAATAATCAGAATAATAGTTCGGCTCAGCTCGGTAGGTTAAAGTTATTTTTTTTGCATACACTTAAATTTGCCTGCTCTTAAAAATAATTTTTTTACCTTAAAAAAACTTGAACTTAACAATCGTTGGGATTTAGAATACTAAGTTTCCAGTTCAGTAGGTTAAGGTTTTTTTTATGCATATAGAAACTCTTTCCTAACCTAACCTAACCTAAAAGTTACTTTTTACACATAAAAATTTGTGAACTTAAAAAATGTTGGGATTTAAAAGAATAAGTTTCCAACTCGGTAGGTTAAGGTAATTCTTTTTTGCATATAGAAACTCCTGCATATAAAAATCACTTATTTTACATTAAGAAAACGAAAAAAAGTGGTAAATATCCGTACAAACCAACAATAGTCAAACGAAGAATATTTTTTTTATTTATCCGATTATAATCGGACGATTAGCAACAGCCATGATAAATACAATGTGGTGCCTTATTTATACTTTACTTTAGGCTTCTGTCAAGAAAACCGATATCAGATTGTTGCTAAGTAGAGAAACATATTAATAAATGCATTAAAAATGCATTGTACTTAATAAAAGATATGTAAACATAATATATGTATATGTTACACACACTTTACACAGTAAAAGACTATCATTTCACAAAATTCGGCTTGAGATCATTCAATTTAATTGTAATGAGACGTATCATCGAATCATTCACCTTTCTTTTAACTAATATTAAGAAAATTCCAGTCAACACCAGAACTTGGTAAGAATTGATGACACAGAATACCAACATGAGAGATCGACTGCGTATATTTTTATAGTAATAGTTGATCAGATCGGTAACAAGTACTTGCAAACTTGTGACCGACACCAGGATGAAAGTTATGATGACCGTTTTCAAGAAAGTATTTCGTCTGAACGCAACTCGTATTATTTCAATGAAGACTAAAGCGTTTAGAATACATATAAAGAACTTTACATGCGCGTACACATTCCAATATATTGTGCAATAATACTGATTGTATGCCATCAGCAGCGGACCCAGGCATGATATGGGTATTGGAGCGATCCACGTCACAGCGGAGGTCACCAACAAATTGTAATTCAACATCGGGAACACCACTACGATCTTGTTATAGAGATTTTTGGTAAAAATGAACATAAAACAAAGCATGACCACATCTGAATGCATATATATCACATAAACGATGACTCTAACAATATAAGAGCTATATTCCACGTAATAAATAATATAGAATTCTAAAATAGTGTACACAAATCTTGCAATAGTCATTTCATGTACGATGATTTCATCGAATTTTTTCGATTGGGGTATCAAGATGAAGAGGACGCACTGTACCAGGAGACCGATGAGTGAGACACCAATGCCCACTAGCCACAAGGTGACAGCGGTTTGTTCGAACACCACACTGCCTAGCTCATGTCCGGCGAAGTCCACTTCCACGGTCTTGTTAGTCATTGTCTTGATATCATCTTTTAGGACTTATTCTGATTGTTTATTATTTTATTTATTGAATATCCAACAACAAAGCAGTAGTGATGTGTCGAACTGCCCAAACACATTTGTTTACTAATCTAATATATTTTTTGTTGGTATTAATAATATGACACCAAGCGCTTACATTTACTTCCTTATCAATACTGCTGATTTGTTTCTAAATTCCTACCAGATGTTGCTTTAGTAATTCATTGATCCTTATATAGGAGTATAACATATTATTTCTCATTACATTCACGCAATGTATAGTCAATAATTAAGCATTTAGAGATTGATTTATTAAAGTAATTAATGGATCAAATATCACATCGGCCATATGGCCGCAATTGTTTTGTATGTGTTGGTTGCAGGCGGATGGTGGCTAACGACGGAATATATCGTAAATTAAAGTAAACCTCAACATATATTTCAAGAATTATTGTAGACTTTGTAAATTTTTCATTTTCATTATTGGGTGAATGTTACCTAACAATATGTTATCGGATAGCTATAATATAATATGGGAAGAATTGTTTTTTTCTTCTCCGCCTTGAAACCTAACCTAACCTTGACCCTGGAGGGTCGTGGTCTACTCTGAAGCGGGGGTATTTTTAAGTTATGTTTCGAGATAAAAATCACTTACTAACTATATTTTTAAATTAATGCTTACAGATTTTGACTACACGTTGGATACAAAAGAGGCAATGCCAGCGCGTGTATCAAAGGAAATGGGAAATATGCTTAGCATATATTGGTTTTAAACCATTTATCCAACTTTCAAAGATTAGAGAGAGTTTCTTAACATCACCGCTCATTTTTTTTTTTAATTTATTAAGAACACCAACAACATAACACACAAATACATTTTAAATTCATTCCTAATACATAAGTTCTAGTATGTTAGTCTCTTACAGGTGTCCATAGCACTGACCAACAAATTACATACATGCACTGCTAATATAAAAAGAAGATAAAGTGACTACAAAATAAGGGCAAAAACTTGAAAAACATTAAAATTTATAAATAGGGTTTAAGTTATCTTAACTAATTTTATGTATATATAAAAAAAAACTATGATATATGTAAAAAATATTTAAATTACTTACTCCTAAAATGTAAACACAAAATGTCTTAAGAACTTTGCTAAAAATAATAGTGGTAGGGACAGATAATTAACTACATACAATAAAATAATGCCGCTTAACTTAGAATGATTTACAATTCTCCGCGGATTTTTTCAACCAAGGTATTCTTTAGTTTGAGCAAATTGTTATGAAATAGATCAACGTCACACCCGAAAGTCTAAACTATTGTAGATAAGTATCTACAATATCTATAAGTATAGACATATTGATTTTAAATTCGATTCGTGGAGTTTCTAAGTTGTTTTTAGGGTTCCGGACCCGAAGGGTGCCAACAAGACCCATTACTATGTTACCGCTGTCCGTCCGACTATCCACCCGTCTGTCTGTCAGTGGGTTGTATCTCATAAGCTTATTAGCTTATGAGAGTAGAGTTGAAATTTTTACAGAGCGTGTATTTTATTGCCGCTATAACAACCATTAATAAATAACTAAGATAGCGAATTTCAAAATAAATTTATATGTTGTACGATGGTACGGAACCCTTCGACTGCGAGTCCAACTTGCACTTGATTTTTATATTTTAAATGATTGATCTTATTTAAAGAACAATAATAGCCTTTTTTGGCCAATAAATTAGCACAAATCTTTTTGAGATTTCTTACCAGTAATCGATTTCCTGTTATTAGGCTTCGTCTTTTATAAAAACTCAATACAAAAGTGACTATATAATTTAATTACTTCTTTATAATATAAAAATGAACCGCTAAATGTGGTGGTAAGGGCAAATCTCGAGAGCAGCTGAACCGATTTCGCTAATTCTTTTATATGAATGGTATGTTTCAGTTTCAAGTGTAAATAATGCTAATTCATCTAACATTAAGTTACCCCGTATAGTTATTCCAACGTTCAATAGCTATATGCTGAATGCAATATGCTGAATGGACCACTTTTAGGGATTTATTTGTATCACTTGTGCACACTAATAAACAACTAGACAATGTCCAAAAGATGCATTATCTAAAAGGTTATTTATCTGGTGAGGCCTAACAGCTGCTCAGACTGATACCCATAGCAGATTCAAATTATGAAAGCTGTTGGTCATTACTTAATTCTATATATATTCCTTGAAGTACGAGGATGGTTCTTACGGAGAGAAATATTAAAAAAAAAATCCTGAAAAAGTCTAAAAACAACACTTTTCTATACTCCCATACAAAAGATTCGTAATAATACTTAAAAGTCAATTTCAACTTTAATACCATACTATAAAATTTAAGTGTTAGTGGAGAGGTTCCGGGAAGGCAAACAATTGAGTGACGTTAGTATCGTATAAATATTAATGTCAATATTATTAACAAAAAAAAAATATATGGCTAACGCCGGGTAATAACTATTTATATCTATTTAAAACGTACCTAGCAACAAACCCGGGCGAAGCGATGGTGAGCCGCTAGTACTCAATAAATCCCAATACACTTACAGGACAAATTGTAAATAATTAACATAATATCAGCAACATTTACGAAGTAGTTTGGTGCATCTATATTTAAATATTATAGTCATCGTATATCTGTAATATGTATATTAATCTTATTTAGTCCAAGTAAATTTGCCTTCTAATAATGTTCGGGTCTAAAATTTAAATATGATCACGAGGACTTGCCCATTGCTGTTGGTTTTGAACAGGCGCTTTTAATATATTATTTAATACTAGCGGCTCACCCTTGCTTCGGTTCGCCTCTAGACAAACAACAACAAAACTATCCCACGGGAACTATACATTTTTAACTATATTATTGTCGTTTCATTAAAATCCAATCAGTAGTTTTTGTACACTAGGCTGTATGAGTTACTATAGTTTATTAACTATCCCACGAGAACTCTTTAGTTTTCCGGGATGAAAAGTATCTAAGATGTTGACCGGGGTATAAGGTACCACCATGAACGAATTGTGGCTAATTCGTTCATGGGTACCACTATGTAAAATTACACTATGTAAAATTGTAAATTGTAATCTTTCCAATAAAGATTTCCAAACGTGTCCAATAAAGATTTTTATTTATTTATTTATTTATCTAGATTTGTTCTATTTCTCTTCTTACATCCCTCTGACTCGGTTTTCAGCATTTTTTTCTATGTACCTACAGACATTCCACCTCTACAGTTTTATTATAGTATAGATAAAAAATAACAATATTAGATATACATAAAGTGCGTGAACAAACTAACGATGTTTGTTTTTTCATTGTTTGAATTCGGTAATTTCCGGAAGTAAGTAGTACTCAAAGTTGGAAATTCTTTTTGCATATAATAGCTTATATATTGAAGAAGGTTATGTAGTATACACATTTTAACGTCGCCCTCATTGCAAAAATAATCTACACGAGAGGTGGCGCACGCAAAACTAGTCATTTAATTATTAAACATTTTGTTTAAGATCTACAATACCGATAACAAATATCTTGGACCTTGCAAATTCGATTTCGGTAAATTTCTTATATACTATGAACCACATGACCACCACGAAATTTCAGCTTCCGGTAGTCGACATCGCCCAATGCTGACCAGTGCAGCGGTGAGTGACATACGGATAGAATAAATATAAGTACAATGTTTTACATAAAATATTTACATATTTAATAACTTAACCGTAAAAAAGTTTTTTACAAGCAATTTTGAACCATCCATCCTAACTAATATGAATGTGTCTGTTACTTATGCAACGAATCAAACTTTATTTTCAACCGACTTCACAAAGGAGGATGTTCTCAATTCGACTGTATCTTTTTTTTATGTTTGTTACCTCAGAACTCTGTCATTTATTAGCCGATTTGGACAATTTTTGTGTTGTTTAAAAGTGTATACTTCCAGATTGGTCCCATTTACATTTCAAAAAAAATACCACCACTAAGGGTGGAAAAATAGCTAATGATGAATTTAACCTACTTCTAATTGTCATATTGACTTGAAACTTTGCAAGTGTTTCTATTTCCGTTGATAGTACAGTGGTTCGGTATCGTTTACATGATCTGAAGGTAAGACCAGAAGGTGGATAGGTGGAACTTTTCAACGGCTAATAGTAGATACTTTGAGTTTGGCTTATTTTGTTTGATTTGACAAGCCTAACACATTAGAATTCTTACTTTGCTACTACTGTCTGCACTAAAAAGGGAAAAATAAAAACTTTTTAACAAATAAATAAAAACCGACTTTAAACAAAGGCACTAAAAAGTATAAAATAACTGATTGGTAGTTTTCGTTTCGTTTAGTTTTTTAGTCGGCCCATACAAAGCAAAGCACACCGACTTCGAAAATATTTGATTAGGTATGTATTTAATAGGTAGGCTTTAATTACTTAGCTAAAGCACACCGACTTCGATACATTAGTGAAAGAAAAGAGAAAAGAGGGTGAAAAAAAATTAATGAGATTATTTTTTGTATGACTCAAACCTCATGAACAATGTTTAAAGAAAGTACGTCTTTATGATTCCAGTAACCATGTTGTAATCTTATGAGTAATAAATACAAACACTTATGGTTTAATGTCTAGGGCACTTGAAATTTGAAATATCAAAAATATCCAGAAGTATATATAACTATCTGGGAAGTCCCCGGCGTTCTTTACGCTTATCAAGCATTTTCTTAACTTTAACGTTTTTACTTATTTATACCTAACATTATTATGCCTATTGAAGTGCTCATCTATAATGTAGAAATAAGACTATATTTTTTTTAATATTGTTGGCACATGATATAAATGAATAGAAAAATATATATTTTAAATATTGAACGTCAACCGTGACAACCCTTGACTATTCTGTTGTATACTATTGTACCGATCCATCAGGTTATGGGCCCAGTCGTCTGCATAGTCCCTTATCCTCGTAAGCACGCTCG